GAGCTGTAACTGATGGTCTGATCTGCTTAGAGGTAGGATTAACCTCCCTGTCTCAGAAGGGACTTGCAGAGAATTGTTCGCTTGGGTTTCTAATCTTATTTTACCCCAAACGCCATGTGCCCTTATTGGTGGCAGGGGAGATTTTTGTGGTAGTGGAATCAGTGAAAAGCTGGTAGATCACACAAGAAGCCTCTGAATGAAGGCAGAATTGAAACTGGGAAATAAAGAAAACAGCAGGCAGGTCACCCTCTCAGGAAAACAACATTCATTCTCAGTCATGCACATCCTAACACTTTTGATGGCAATTTATCATGGAAGACTGGGTTCACTGCAAGGGCTAACACAAGTCATAGGTTAAAGCAGAAAAGGCAATCCTGAAAGGAAACTTCAAAGTCCTTAATACACAGAGCTAAATTTGTTGAGAAAAAGCTTAGGATGTTTGTTACAAAGATAGGAGTAAACAGCACGCTGAAGGCATTCTGGCAAAACATCTTGTGATTGTTTTGCCTATTTAAGGCACCATTTCCATGTCATTGCAATGGACGTACACGGCTCTGAAGAATGCAACCAGAACTTGCAGAAGGTTGTGATAGGTTGAGCTAACAGACCTTCTCCAATTGTAACTGCTGTGGATTGATAAGTAGAATTGGGTATAAATACGGTATTATTTAATGCCTCAGGGAAGTTACTTTTTCCCACCTTAGTGCTTGTCCTGGTGCTTTATGCTTTTAATTCACACTGATGAGTGGCGAGGGCCTTGGACCCTCCCGAACACTTGTTAAGACTGTGGGTATATTCTGTTCAGAGAAAGTGCTTGTGAAGTAAGGTAAGGAGATCTCACCCTGGCTGAGATTTCAAGGTGAATGCAGTAGCAAACTGAAAGCTTGGCAGCACTTTGTAATGCATGGTTAGGAAGGTGTGTTTAGTGATGCTTCTGATAAATCTCCCCAGTTTGGGGTCAAATAGTCAAGGAAGTTTTTTTGTTCAGATGCTTCCTGAGTTAGCGATCAGGTTGCTAACTTGAGCTGCCCACTGCTGGACACAGCAGCAGCTGGCAGGCAACTTTGGTGGGCATGTGTATCTGAATAAATGTATATCTTAGCACTTCTAGGTAAGAACTTTGTATTATCAGAACTCAGCTTGGAAAATACACTTTTTATGACCATCACTTCTAGTAGACTGTACTGCAGAAATGTTTCTGTGGCCCAGCTCTGGCTCCAACTCAGCTTCATGTCTTTGCAGTGCTACTCATTTAATTTTGATTGATTCACACTGCTGTCCAGTCAGACTGTTCCCCTTTTTTGAAAAGGTATAAAAGCCAGTGAGGTAAAAAATACTATGAATGGGCCTTTACAGGACTGCTGTGTTAGCAGTGCAGGCACAGTCCTGACTGGGTTAGTTACTACATGTGTCACTAGTGGAGCATGAAAAACATTCAGCTGTAGACCAGTGGTTGAGACTAACAACAGAAGGGCAGAGGACCGTGTATGGAGATGCTCACCTAGGCCATTAAATAAGAGAGGGCAAGAGTCAGCTGATGAAGATCCAGGCTAGTATCCTGCAGAAAACGGGTTAGCTTATCCAGTCCTTTTGCTAATCTTGTTCTTCCCAGACTCCTTTCAGTCTGCTGCCCTCCCAGATAACTTGGTTGTGTTTCTCTTGCTTTTTGAAGAAACAGTATTTGTTCTGTGATCTTACTGTTTTTCTAAAGGACTCTGGATCTTTTTCTGCTTCCATTTAATCTTCTGTAGGATTGTTTACGAGCCTGCCAAGAACAGATTGAGTCCCTCCTTGAATCCAGTCTACGTCAGGCACAGCAGCACAGCGTATCTTCAGAAACAAAGACTGTAGAGGATGAAGCAGATCTTTCCTGCACACCTACTGATGTGCGAGATGTGAACATTTAAGAGGACTTCTAAAGGGTTTGCTTGGCCAGGAAAAGCAGACAAAGAAAGGGCATCTGAGAAGGAATCAGCATCAGGATCTCCCCCCCCAGAAACCCTTTTCTCCAGGACATTTTTATACCAGAAGGGAAAACCAGTCTTGTTATATTTTTTCTTGCTCTGTCTCCCTTCCGTCTGTGACTTCAAACAAACAAATAAACAAAAAATACCCCAAAAACTGTCTAAAAAGAAAAAAAGAAAAAAATAGTATTTGCATTACCCACAGGGGTTTGTGCTACAAAAATAGAGGATTTTATACAATAATAATCAAGTAGTTTTTATATTAAAGTGTTCTTGTCTGTATGTTGTAAAAATAGGCATTAACACACAAAATGTCTCCAGGGGAGGTATTAGATTTGATTTCTTACATATAAAACAAACCAGCCAACCATTTTTAAAGTAGAAGAGGGTTGTTTGTTTTTTTTTTCTTCTCTGATAGTAAATGAAATACTTTTTTTTTTCTCCTTTAAAAAACATAGCTTTAATGCAGTTCTAGGCTTTTCTGTATCTTGCTTGCTTATGCATTTAGTCACTTTATAATTCATTTGTAAATGTTTATTTCCTTAGGTTGTTTTTTTTTATAATCCTCTTCACCTTATAAATGGTTAACATAACCCATCAGTTAGTATATGTTAGTATGCAGCATTATTTTTTATGTTAATCTTTTTTTTTTTTTTAGTGCCTGTGGATTGCCTGTGCATAAGGCATTTGTAGGGTTCCAGCTTAGCATTGTTGGAAAAGGCCAATGTACTACTCATACAGTACTCTATTATAAAGAGAAACCGAAATAGTGACATAATATATTCTATTTTTGTAATCTTCCTATTTTTGTAGTTACCTGTGTAAAAATGCTGGTCTGACCCCACAGATATTCAGCCTAATGATGGTCAGGTTCAATCCACAGTTCAGTCTTTTATTTTGTTGTTTGTTTGTAATATTCTAAACCCATTCCATTCAAAGCACTTTCAGTCCATTAGATATAGGAAATTCTTTTATTGTGTGGGAAATATTTTTTTTTCTTTTTTAATGGAATGGTTTGGAAATATATAAGTGCTTGTTCGCAAACTTGGAATTGCAAAGCAAGTGCATTTAACTATGGTGTTAGAGGAGAGGTGATATTTTTTTTCCGAAGGTTGTGTTCCAGTAAGAGAAACTGCATTCACAAATTGCCAGGAGATATCTTCCTATCCTTTTCTATAGAAAAGTTGAAGTTTAGAATCCTTTGGTGCCAACTCATCTTTATAAAATTAGGGGGCCTTAAAGGTTCACATATAGGACACATAGTTTTAAGGACTGTCACTAGATGTTTTACAGCTGAAGGTTTTTAAACACTAAAATATATAATTTATAGGTAAGGCTAAAAAAAAGAATATTTATTGCAGAGGATGTTCATTAAGGCCAGTATGATTTGTAAATTAATGCAATCGCCCCTTTTTGTTTTTGAAAGAATCTTTCTCCCCTTGACCTTGCAGTTTTAACAGAGCTTATTAAAGAAGAAAGGACATGCTTCAAAGGGCAAACCCAAAACAAAGCAGTCTGCTCCGCCCCTTCCTATCCATGTTCAAAAGCAGTCTAACCACGCAACAAAACGCCATAGTCAAGAGATACAAGAATTGGAGTACTTGAAAGAAGGTTTTTATTCCAGTATATGCGCCCCTTTTGCTTTTATTTAGCTACAAATAGAAAATTTGCACATCTTGGCTATGTATCATTTTATTATTATTTTAGAAAGTAGCTGAAGGGATGTGGACATAGCTGTTGAAGTTAATGCTCGAGGAGAATGTGATGGTGAAATGTATGTGAGAAAACTGCCGCTAAGGTGTTGATTGTAAAAAAAAAAAACAAAAAAACCAACAAAATGACAAAAAAAAAAAAAAAGAAAAAAAGAAAAAACCCACCCTTAAACATTAAAAGAAAAAAAAAAAAGAAAAGGAGTGGATGCTCCATTTTTACTGAGCTGCTATGGATAAATTCCCAGCATGGTTTGAAAAAAAAAATTAACATTGCTTTTCTGTATCTTTGTCATTGTGTTTTGCTGCTATTTTGTGGATCAGTTTGTTTTTGTTTTTTTTTTTTTTTTGTTATACAATGTCATATACTGCCATGTTATAGGTTTTAATTTTCTCATAGAAAATTATATTATTGACATCACTCTTTTTTGGTAGATTTTTTTTTATGTGATCAGTTTTTACTTAATGTGATTACTGCTCTATTCCAAAAAAAGGTTCCTGTTTCACAATACCTCATACTTCAGTTAACCATGTCTAGACCAGGTTTTAATGTTTGTACACAGTGCCTCATAGTTCTACTGCAGATGGAAATGCATCAAATGGGTCTCGCGATTTGCAACTAGGTTGCGTTAACTTAAAACCAGCAGACATTTCAGAACATCAAGTAATATCATGTTGTTGTAATGCATTTTATAAAGCTGGATTCTTTTTGTCTGATCTGGGTTTTATTAATAGTGTTTGAAGCTGTGTTATTAGCCACATTGATATATATGAAAGGTGCGTTCTAATGTAACTCTTGCATACCACCTGATGTGGTTTCCCAGCGGTTGGAACCGCATCATTTGGTATGACAGGCTATCTTCTGGAACTCTTAAGTATTGTGTGTTTAATCTGTTATGATATACTATTTTTTTTTTAATTATAGCATCATGCTAATTTAAAAAGCGTGTAAATCTCATAAATAAGCCAGCTAACAGAGTTGTATGCTGAAGAATAATCTAGCTGTTGCCTGTATGCTGCTAAACCAAAACAGAATTAGAACTCATTCTGAGGCAAATGCAGTTAAAATACTACATAGTGCATAAATAAAGCATTGCAATGCTACTAGCAGTCGCAGGACCCAGGAGGACTGGATACATTCTGTCCAAATTTCAGGAACATTTCTAACTGCTTACCTCATGAAACACTTCTGTTTGTGGCATCTCCGTGTCTGAACCAAACATAATTATTGAGTTAGTGCTTGTTGGTTATATGTTACACTGAGTGGCAGTGTGTACTGCAAACTTCTTTAATAAAATACTGTATGTACTAAAAGGCCAAATCCAGATTAAGTGGGTTCATGCGCCAACAGAGATGCTTTATTTGTCACATTATTATAACAATCTGTAGTAAGCAAGCAATTCAGATTTGTACATTTTTATATTGTACTTATTGGCATCACTGGTCTGAAATGCACATTTTCACCAACAGACCTGTAACAGACAAGTTTCCAGCAAAAAACCCTAAAATCTAGAAATAAAATTGGTAAAGCCCAATGTCTGCTTCTTTTTTATTTTTATTATTTTATTTTACTTTTACATTGCCTTCATGAATGCTGAAAGGCAGTAACCACCTAATGCAGTGAGTAAGCCACATGATATTTTCTGGTTTTGACTATGCTTTAATAGTTGCAATGCTGAAGACTTTTTGCTGTTATTTTAGGAAACCACAAGGGTTTTTGGCTACTTTGACTACCTGTCACAGTGATGTGTGTTTTTAAAGCAGCAAAGTAGTTTTTGCTGAAGACTTTATTTTAAACATAAAGTAAAATACCACTTGGTGGTTCTTGTCACTAAAAGCTAAAATAGAGTAGGTGTAGGATAATACAGAATACTTATTTGTATTTATTTATCAGCGTAAGGTTTTGTGTCTTAGATACCTTTATAGAAGATTGCAGGAGTGAGGTTAACCTGCCTTTTCTATCCCTTCTCATGCACAGCTTTTGTATCTTGCTATTTTATCACTAAGATAACAAGGAATAAGCCTGAAAATGTAAAACCCCACTAAAAATACATAAAGAAGAAATGGACCTACAAGGGCAGAAATTATGTATAAAATAGAATCAACCAGGTTGGAAAGACCTTTAAGATCATCAAGTCCAATCATTCCCCCAGCACTGCCAAGTCCACCACTAAGCCATGGCACTGAGGGCCTCGTCTACACAATGAAAAATAACCCATCTCTATTCACATTCCAAAACATCTCTGAAAACTGGGGACGCGCATTATCAATTATTACTAAAGCAGGACACAGCAGAAACAGCTTATTCTTAGTAGAGATGGTCAGGCTTCTGACCTATGGATTTGACTATTTACCCTGTATTTCTGCTTTAAAAAAAAAAAAAAAATCTATGTAAAGCATCAAATGTTGTGCGTCCTAAGAAAAATTAGTAATCTAGTATCTGCCTCCTGAGTTTCCCACTGACTAAACTTCACATTCTTTGCAGTAAGTACAGAAAAGGAAATGAAAAATGAAACTCTGGAGCTAACACCTAATGTTAATCGCAGTCCAGTGCAAAGTAAGTCTCGGCGCAGTTACCAATAGATGAGAAACCACCTGCATCAGAAGAATCCTGGCTGAGCTTTTATTAGACTGACACTTCCCAGTCATTTCTGACATAAACGTGAAACATGCGGCCTGCTGTGAAATCAGATTGGCTAAGTAAAGTAATATCAGTATGTAGTGGGAGCTGCTTTTTTCCATTCAGAAGGGGTAAGGTGCTTCATTATGGGCAAATTATACTGGTAGGCCACTGAGGAAGATATCTGTATAGCACTGAAAGATGATCTGAACTAGATTCAAAGTAATTTTAAATACAGATCACGCCAAAACTTGAACTGGACCCTGTCAAAACCAACTAATTTTTTCCACACAGATCCTTCTATTAGTTTTCTGCAAAATTTCAGCCTATTTCAAAGAAGACAGAAAAAGGCTCACTTTTGTATCACTGATGGCTAACTCTTCTGACTTTATATACTTGAAAATTGAGGGTTTTGTCTATTTAGGACAAAAACTATTTTGCTGATAAAAACCAATATGATTCAGTGAGAAATTTAAACCTGCATTTTGTTGAACATATTAAATGGGTCTTCCCTTTCTTATCCATTTTATAAACTCCATTAAAGCAACTGAAGTATTCTGTGAGTTCAGAAGGTTTAAGCCCACAGTCAGCTCTGTTACTTATATTTTCTGTGTCCCAAACATAATCTCTAAATCCAATTACTAAATTTGAATGTTGAGTGAACCATGCCCGTATTACATTGCGAAGGGCAGGAAGGCAAGAATGCAGCAAAAAAACCAATTTACTATAGCCTGTAAAAAAATATGCATGTTCAGCTAGGCTATATTATAGCTTATTAAAGGGAAAACTACTGTCTTTTCTTATATCAGATTGAGACGTGTGCACAGAAAAACCTTAAAAAGTCCTCCCCAAAACCTCCTCAATTCCATTGATGAATTCCAACAATCCTGGACCTTTCTGAGCACTTCACATATTCTTTATTAAAGATCTGTTAAATGTAGAAACTTGGAACCCACTTACATTCAAGTGTATCTGACATATTAAGTGATAGAAAACTCTAGAAGATAGAGGAGAAAGTGAAGCTTTGAGCTATTATTTCAAAGAAGTCATAAGAATGACCCGGGCATGTGGGTTAGATACTCTGATAAAAATTCCTGGCAACGTCACTGAAAAGCTACAATGGGACAAAAGCAGTAAAGCTGCAAATGATGACATTTTAATGAATTCCCGCCACCATCATTTTATGGGAAATGTATCTTTTTAGACAAACATGGTATTTTTACGATCCCACAAATGTAACTGATAATAGCAATTGTATTATTGGCACGGCAAACATGGATTCCCATATGGCTTTTGACTGAGTTCCACCTGATATTCCAATCAAATGATAAGAAAGGGGCTGCAAATTAGTCAACTGGATTGCACTCATAATGTGAGACTTGCTAGACTTCTCATTTTGCTCTTTAAGGCCAAGAAGCACAAATTTAGGAGCAAGGCACAAGTGACCCTTTTGTTTCGTTAATGTGATAGCCATTTAAGAGGGAAAATGGACATAGGTTCTTGATGATCCTGTCAGCATCTGCAGAACCTTACTTAGATCTGTCATACTTAATGCCTGCATGAAGACCATATATTAAAATGTCTCATATTTCAGGGAAGTCACTGAGGATTCACAGCCATCTTTTTCTTGAGGACTCACATCTAAAGAGGGAATTACTAGCAGAAAAACTGTGCTTACAGAAAAGCAGGAATAAGGCACAAGGGCAGCATATCTTCACTCTGCAGGGGCCCTGTTGATGTAGGACAACCATTCACAGTGTATGGCAAACAGATCTGCTCCTGGGGTACATACCACCACTTCTACTAAACTCCTGAAGATGTTTTTAATGTGGTCTTCAAAGCATCCATTCCTTCACAGAACAGCCCCAGGCTTTTAGGGAGCAGTCACTACCAAACACAGACAAAGGTTAAAGCAGCTTTTTACTTGTCTCAAATTGCCTCTCTGGACACACAAGGATATGTTTAGTAGCTGCCAGATATCTTCCCTCTAACACAGAATAAAAAAAAAAATAAAATAAAAATCCATCTGTGTGGTTTTCATCTCTCACTTTAATTACAGCTTATGTTACTTTTCTTATTTACAATAGTATCATTGAAGAACTACAACAATTAGTGTTTATTTCAGATTAAAATAAAACCCCCATGTAGTGATCCATCTCAAAAGCAGAATACCAGTCTGTCCTCTCCCATGCTAGTGGCCAGTCACAGTACAATCTTCCCTGCCAACATGCCCGTCAAGGGTTGAAGCCTATCTGAAAGCCAAAGACTGCCTAGTTAACTGAGACCTTGACTGTATCTGCTCAGCTCTGGCTAATGTGGCATGAACTGGGAAACAAGCAAAGTAAGAACCTCATTAGGCAACTGTTGCTAAATTCACACTCCATAACACATTTGGGGTGGGTGAACACAGGGCAATAGGAACCTCCTCCCCACCAGTAACTGGCCTTGGATATGGAAAGAGAGAACGGCCTGGGACTGCCTGTAAATACATAAAGCAGTAATTGGTTAAAAGGGTGCTACCCTCAGGGTTGGAGAGAGCTCTGGGTACAGATCTCTAATATAATCATAGAATCACAGAATCAGATGGGTCAGAAAAGACATTTAAGATCATCAAATCCAACTGTTCCCCCAGCACTGCCAAGGCCACCACTAAACCATGTCACTAATCAAAGCAACACCATATGCACACGACAGGACCTGACATGCCAACTAGTTGAAGCAAGAGTCCTCTTTTCCTGGGTTCATGGGATGAAAGTCTAGGGCTTTGACTTGTTCATTTAGTGTGTGGATTACAGAATGTAAATTGGTATCCACTCACCATTTCCAATGCGCTAAATTAACCAATTTTAGATTATATGTTGCCAAGTGGTGTGGTTTTCTTACTCCATCCATCCCACCTGAGCACAGTTACACTTGTCTTAATCCACCACCCTATATTCCGTTAAAAGCCTGGTCTCCTATGAGAGCTAACATGCAACCCACCATAAGGATGTTATCTGTAAGATAAGCATCAGTCTTCAAGGAGCTGGGTTGAGATGGGCAACTTTTTAAAAAGGATGGCTAAACTACCACTACAGCATTACAACAATGGACCTGAGCCAGCACCGAACAAATAACCCAGTGTCCCAAGTCACTACTTCTGATGGCAAACTGTCTGAAACGGACAATTGAGCTTTTTGATGTTTTATTTCTCCTTTTATTAGATTTTATCGCAACAGTTTGAATACAGAGTATTATTTTTTTAAGAGCTTTTTGCTCTTGGAACACCTGCAGGCCATAGTTCTTTACATTTGGCTGCTTTAAATATGAAAACAAGATCTTCAGGAAATGTATACAGCCATGCTCTTTTTATATGCACAAGAATAACATCATCCCAAGACTTCCAGAAGGCATCAGCAATTATTTACTCAAAAGTAAACATTATTTCTTGCAAACATACACATTTATTTCATAGTTTTGACTCAATAGCTGTTTCTGTCATTCACTATGACCACTTTGTTACTTTGAGACAATAAATCTACCAGCTACATATTAGTTCAGGTTTCCCTTTTTATGGAGACCCTTGGACTGCAAAGGATCAGAAAGGTTCCTTTCTTATGGACCTTTCCAATGTAAGTGAAAGCCTTCACCTTTCTGCACTTGTGCATGACAGTACTCAACAGAGGTGCAAAGTCAAACAAGTATATGCAAAGCCTCATGTCTGTGGAAACACAAGGGTGCTCTCATCCTCAAAACAGCCTTCTAATCTACCTAAATACAGACCTCCTTGTAAACCTGCTTAAACTGCCTTCAGGGATCTCCTTCCACTTGTCCTGTGTTTCTGCTGAAGGAGAATTTCAGGCAAAACACAAGCCAAAGCTCCTTGAAGAGTGTTCTCCACATTTTTCACCTAACACAATTTGTTTCTTTCTCAGGACTTTGAGAAATTAAGATGCTACTGGATTTTTGTGAACTTGTCCTCATTTCACTGCATAAGAGAACTTAAGAGCAAGACATACAACATCATGAGCCAGATCCTCATCTCAACATGTGGTTCTAACAAGGCACCTATGGTGAAGCAGATTTATGAACTCCTAAACTATGCTCAAATCATTCTCCATTTTATTCAGGTGTTCTAGATATGACACATAAAATGGTGCCCAAAGTCCATGCAGTTTTAGGTTTACAGTGCACTTGACTAACTGCACCATGACCAAGGTTTCCTCAAGAAGCAAATACACTGAAGATGTAACCTTCAGCTCTGTTCAAAAGTGACATTCTATTCTACCAGTTCTTAGTTTCAACTAATAATTTGCAGTTTTACTTGGATTTCAGAAACTGTCAAGTGCTTATTAACAATAACCTCTGTATGTGTGAAAGGCAAAAGGGGTCTCGAAACTTCAATGTCTGCACATACATTGAAA